GGCTGGGGGAGCTGGTGGGGGTCAGGGGGCTGGGAGGGTCCCCATGGTCCCCTCCCCCGCCCCTAGTACTTACCAGCTTGGAGTGGCTGCAGCTCCCTGCTGGAGCCACCAGAGACTGCCCAACTCATCAAAGTTCTCTGAATCTTTGGCAAAGATTCGCAGAGCTTTGAATCGATTCAGACCTTTAAATTGGTCCCCTGATTCAATTCAGATTTGGAGATTCGGCCACCAAATCGGGCCAAATCTCCTCCAAATCAAATCACCACCCGAAGCTTTGCACAGCCCTAATAAACATCACATAATTGGAACACGAATGGCAGAGACCTGCAGGGTTGTTAAGTCCAGTCAGACCAAGGAGAAATATCTATGAAGAATACGACTCAGGGCTAACTCCCGCTCTATAGTCTATGTGTTAGCAATCAATTTATAGTAAGTTTTATCACCCTTCCCTTTCCTTGGTAGGTTGTTTGTCTTAGAGTGTGGATGTAGCCCACTGTTCACTGTGTGAGCTGTATCTGCCTTTAGTGTATGGACCTCAGCAACTTTGAGTCTTCTGCAGCTGCAACCTAGAGGAGTTGCCTTGTTAGCTTTAGACATTATGGGCACATGCTCTTGAAAGGAACCCAGAGGTTTTACACTAAGTTGATAAGCCCCAAGCAGTGTTTTTGTCCCACATTCCTTGGGGTAAAGGTGGTGTATTTGTATGAGGACAGCATAGCAGTGAACAGAATGACATGCTGGATAATTACATTAATACCTTAAAATATGAAATTCACCAAATAATTCCTTGCCACCTGGGCCCATATGTGTCATTCTTCTTTTCTCAGGTAAAATGTACCATTAAATCAGCAATAGTTTATACTGTGGCTTCAGCCTGAGAATTTCCTTTCCTACACAGCATGCAGTGCTAGGAGTGATTTCTCTGAATCTGCACCTCTGGAACAAAGCCCTGCTATATTCATGCACTGATTTAGTCCTATAGCTGAAATGCATATTTCCAGTTCTAGGCACTTATCCAGTCCCATCTCTAGATGCACATACAAAAGCTTCAACCTGGTCCAACACAGAAACCATCAGCTCAGACATCCCAGCTGATCTCAACTACGGTAGAGGAGAGTCTACCTTCAAGACAGCCAAGTTCAAAAAAGAAGGAAAGCGCTGGTAGATCAGACGTAGTCAGTCAGTCATCTTGCCCTTTAAAGGTTCCCACTTGGTACCATGAGTCAGCTTTACTCAACTTTGGTTTTGTTTCATTCAAGACTCAATTATTCAATAGTCCTTGGGTCTGGGATATTCAAAGCAACCAAAGGTGTTACGGCAGTGATTCTCAACCAAGGTCCCATGAGACCCTTTTAAGGGCACCCTGGGGTACAAACAGCTACATATGCTTGCCAAGATAAACCCAGAGATGTTACAGTGTTAAAAACATTCTGGCCTTTTGGATCTTTCTGAGCTCTTTACAATAGAAAAATTGCTTTATTATTCTTCTTTGGTCAAAAACAAGTGAAAGCTGAGAGCTGGACTTTCCAATGGGTGCCTTGAGTCTAATAAGGAGTGCCCTGAGCTTAATGAAACACCTTGAGTCTAAAAGGTTGAGAACCCCTGTTAGATACTCAAATCCCACTTGATTTCAATGAGATTTGAGCATCTAAATCCCAAGGTTTTATTTGAAAATCCCAGTCAGAATCAGCAAGATTTACTTTTAACCTCCGCCTAGCCAAGCCAGTTTTGCACGCTTTTCTTAATGGAGATGATTTGCTGTTCAGAGGCAGAAAATGTTGGGAAATGCCTGGAGGGAGTGCTCAAGAGTAAGTCTAATGGGTGCATTCTCAAAAATAAAGGCAGCACCTGTCTTGCAAATGTCTATGCTCCGCTAGCCTTGTATCAACCTCCCACAACGCCTACCACATTTTTATTTAGGAAATGGTCCTAAGTACAAGCTAATGAATCACTTTTCACCTTGTTGCCGTTTGCAGCCACAGCTAACACATCTGCCCACGCAAAGTGCCAGTCTGAAGGTGTAGGACCATGCACTATGCTTGTGCCGGGGCTAGGGTAGAACAAGACTTCTCTGCAAGTCCCTGTTGCTGTTTACATGTGGTTGGCATTGGGAATGACACAGAGGCTTTGTGTCTTGTTTGCAGAGTTAGAGGAAGCTCGCAGGACGTGCCCACCCTGGTGGTATAAATTTGCCAAAATTTTCCTTGTCTGGGACTGCTGTCTTCCGTGGCTGAAACTGAAGGCGTTTGTTAAGCTGATAGTGCTGGACCCTTTTGTCGACCTGGGGATCACCATCTGCATAGTGCTCAACACACTGTTCATGGCCATGGAACACTATCCGATGACTGAAGAGTTTGAGAATGTGCTGACTGTGGGGAACCTGGTAGGAAATGTCATGGCTTCTTCTTATATTTTTCCCCCATTTACAGCAATAATAGGAAAGGGCAGCTCCAGAAGGCAGTTCTATTACAGATTCCAAGGAAATGCTTTTATGAACAGTGACCACAGGCACTTGGAAACCTCTCTTCTGTACTGCTAAGTAGGTGTTGGGTCTGATCACAGTGTAACTGCAAAGTGCACATACTCCACAGGCACTGAACAAATAAAGAAAAGCAACCAGCAAAGGCAGAAGTGAGCGAGGGAACCAGTGGTTTCTCCTGATGGAGCTTCCCTGGAGAAGCCCTACGATTCCTTGCTGTTACTAATGTGTGATGGCGTGGAGGCCCTTTCAGAGCAGTTGCACAGGTCACAACCCCAGAATGGTTCTTAGCACCAGTGAAGGGATCTGCAGAGAGTTTAGTCAGAGACTGTAAATTATAGGCCCTCTTGAGTGAAAAACAAAATCGATGGGAATGGGCTTTCCCACCAAAACACAGCCCTGAGTAATGGTCCTACCAGCTTCCTTTTAGCCTTGGTTAATCAATCTACATCAGACCTCATGTCCCCACTCAATATGTTGTTGGAAATTTGGGTGACAGATCAAGTACAAGGTCACTGAACTTAAAGGTGGGCAGGTAGTTCAGCTTAAGAAAATATCATATCTTATTCCCCAGCTCCGACCTCCTTCCTGGCAAACCTAGTGCCTTGACCTGGACCATTCCTGGTCCCATGCTAAAGAGGTACCACCATGGCCTGATGATACTGAAAGACAATCTCATTCATTTTGCTTTTTGAAAAGAGTCTTTTTTCATCTTCTTGGCTCTGTGGGGCCATCCAAGCTTCTCTTGTGCCCAGACCCAGGATAGGGTTGGTGTCACTAGGGACTCCAGGTATCCTTTGAGTTTTGCTGGGTTGGGAGACAGGGGATCAATTTCAACATTCCTTTAGCCTTTGAGACATATCATACAATCAGCAGCCAGCCCTGGAGTTTCAGTTGGGCGTACAGGAGCACAGCTTCCCAACCCCTATCAAATACAATGGGATTTGGATGTTTATTTCCCCATGAGTGCTTTCAGAATTCACTCCCCTTCCCTTTCTCCCCTCCCTTCTGCCCCCCAGCCTGTTTCTGACTTGGTGCCATCCACCAATATTTCACCAACTTCTTGAGATGGCAACGAAGGCAAGTCATTTCCAAAGTGGCTACCCTTCTGTAGCCTACTGGTGAGTGCATGCAACAAATCTGTCCTGCAACGTACCTGCAGAGGAGATCAGCCTCTGATATAGGGCCCAGAAACCTGATTTAATATATCTAGAGATAAAAATCCAGGAATCCTAATGACCCCTATTTTCTGTAGATCAGATACAGAAGGGGACATGTAACACACATTCAACAGTGGGCTACCTGAGACCTGATGGGCAGGATCATCAGGATAGCTAAGTATCTCAGCCCTACCTGAACACCCTGAACTCTGCAGGTGCTCAGGTCTTCAGAAATTCAGATTCTAGGCACTTGGCTTGGATACCTCAAGGAACACTTTACCCAGCTGCAAAGCTGAGTTCCTAGGTCTCCAAGTAGTCATGTAGCACTGCTTCCAGATCAAATAGTCCTCAGGAAAGAAATCAATCCAAAATTGAAACTTTCAGACCAGCGAGGAAGAGGCAAAGATAACATCAAAATGTGACTTCAAGGATTGACCCTCCTCCCCTTGTGACCTGCCAGGTCCCAGCAACAGGAAATGGGAGCACCAGAGGTGGGGATAGCGTAGAAGGAGACAGCAAGAGGCTGGCATGGTGGAGGAGAAGGGTACAGCAGAAAGAAATACAGGGCTGACCTGTGCTAGCTAAGATGGCAGACCTCACTGAAGAAGGGAAGAGGCAGCCATGAGCCTGAGGAAATGTAAAGCTCACATGAGTTGCCTTGCCAGGGTCCTCTGCCAAAAGAAGCATCCCCTGGCTTAGAGAAGATAGCTGAAGCCTCTTCCAAAATAGGAATGAGAGAAGCCAGCAAGTGTGACTCAGTCCACAGAAGTCTGCGTATGATGCAGCCCTTCCCCTGCTGCTCTGACCATGGCTGGTAGCAAAACCAGGTGGCGTAAAGCATTCTTTGGTGCTGAGGTGACTATGCACCACTCCTGTGACTCCTTAACAGAACTGCTAAGAGTCTGGGGAGAAGCTGAAGGGGAGCTGGGGCTGTCTCTTTTCTGTTCCACCGTACACTTTCAGACCTTGCACATGCCTCCACAGAACCCCCCGTACTCATCAAAGTCCTCTTGCTCCCTGGTTCTCACTCCATGATGAGTGTCTTTCCTCAAATTCCCATTGTATGACAGGTGGAATCCATCTTCCCCTGCTTTCCCTCAGTTGCTTGCCTGGATCCAGCCCTTTCTAGCATCTCTGTGCATAGTTACTGAAGTGACCTACACTAGGAGCCCAAGCCTTGGGTTCAGGAGAATGATACTGCATACATACCTGCTTTAGATTTGATTTCATACAGGAAATACAACAGGATTAATAGGCTACCATGTTTAGCACAGTTGATCTGCAAAATCAGCTCTAACTTTTCCTTTGGTCAACTTGGGATCTTCAAACTGATTTTTTTATCCAGAAATGCAGCGTCTGGGGGAGACAGCTTGGTGTGTGGAGCTAAGGGGTTTTCTGGGAAAGCAGGCGTGCTCCCCTGTGCAATAAGCAACAATCTTGCTGCTCACAAACCCTCTCCCGGCTTACGGGCATGTCTTTGTGGACGTCTGTACAGTACAAACCGAGTGTTTTGAAAAATTCTCCCAAAAATAAGGCCTCAGCATGTGTGTATACCATCTAGCAGCAGCATCTGTGGCAGAGCAGGGTGTATATCTTCTCCCTGTAGGGAGATGAGTAGCAATGAATGGGCAACAGGAGGAGGCTGTAAATTATTACAGCCAGCCAAGGGGCAAACTGGGACATGAATGTGGAGCAGCTTGTGCCCTTGATGCAGGCAGGAGCAGAGATGAGGAGTGGCTTTAGGTTGAAATGCTGACCTAGGGTTCAGCTGCTCTGGGTTTGGCTCTCTGGTCTGGTGTGCGACCTTAGTTAGGTCACAAGCTGACATATTTCCAAAGAGCTCAGCAGCTGTTATGAAAATCTGACCCTTGGTCCCTCCTTGCCCAAGTCTTCTTGATGTACAAAGAGGACAAATGTCTGTTTTCAGGCCTTATTAGAGCTTCTGGGTAGGATTCGTTGTGGGTTTCTTCATTGCCTGGCCTGGCATAGCAGAGGCCCTATTCACGGCTGGGGCTTCCAGGTGCCACTGTCACACAAGTAATGAGAAGAGAGCTGCATTCTGGAGAAGAAAAAATGTAGGCAAAAAAACCCTGGCCATCCAAGGCATGCTGGGCTAAAGAGGCAAGGCAGGATAGCCAAGCTGTCTGCACTTGTACTTCCCTCTGCTTTTCCTCTGCTGAACCTTGCAACTTCCCTTGTTGTGGGGCAGTACTCCTTAGCTCTGCTACTCTCGGCTCAGAGGGCATTTGAAGGAAAGGTTTGTTCACTGGATTTTTCTTTACTGTATCAGGTGAGAGGAGGGTTTTTCTCCTCAGTCTCAGCTGTAAGAAAAGCAGTGCAGTGATGTACACTGACTGTGATGCCCTGGCATATTAAATGTCATAAAAAATAGCACCCTACACTGGGGGGGGGGTCAGGTCACTCTTTTGCAATGGAATGTGATGTGGAAAGGGGCACAGAGGAGGGTCCCTGTGCACAGTGTAAACACAGGGTTTTAAGGCCTTTGTATAGGATGGGGTAAGCCTGCAGGCATCAGGGTAGCTCTTTGGAGAAGCACAAGGCCCTCTCTGAATGGCCAGGTGTGCAATAGAACTGCAGATTGCCCCTCGTGCTTCCCCTGCTTTGGCCAGGGCCAGAAGTATAGGGATTCACGTGGGCGCATGTGGCAAGGTGGAGGTGACGACTATCCATTGACACTGTGTTCGCAGTTGCAAATACATGGCTGCCAGCAGCAATTGCTTTTCTTTTCTTTTTTTTTTTGTTTTTGTCCCCTTTCCCCCAAGTTATCACCCAGGGTGGTTACCCCTATCACTCCCTCCTAGTTACACCACTAGCCAGGACCACTGGTTGGAACAGAGCACAGAATAAAAAGGTGGTGCTGCTCCTTCCCTCCATTCCTTTGGGCAATAAATACCCCTGTTTGTCCAGCCCCTGAGCTCTCCAAAAGGCAGCTTCACATGGAAGCTTACTTTTATGGTTCTCTATGGATTTCCTTATGAAGGAGGTGCAGAATACAGTGTGTCTCACTCATGCTCCCATTGTTGAGCCTTGGGTAGGTGCACACTATCCCCAAGCAGTTAGCAGGAGCAGGTCTTATAGCATCTGCACTTACACTGATAATTCCAAAGAGGCCATGTGCCTTCCCCCAGCAGCATGACTCTTACTTCCTTCTCTGATTCATGGAGGGGAGGCTCATGGGTATTCTTACACCCTAGAGCAGTGATTGTCAGTCAGGGTATCACAGCACCCTGGGTTGCTTTGAGATCCTTTCAAGGGTGCCCTGGGGTGCCAACCAATGTTAGCACTGTTAGGTTTACAAACATGATGCACAAGATAAGCCCAGAGATTTCAAATAGAAATCTACAGTTTGGATCATTCTGAGTTCTTTGCAATAGAAAACCTGCTCTATTATTTTTCTGTAGGCAAAAAGGAGTGAAAACTAAGTGCTGGCATTTTTCAAGGGCTACCTTGAGTCTATCCAGGGGTGTCTTGCGTCTGCAAAAGTTGAGAACCACTGCCCTAGGGAAATCTGCTCTGATACCAGCTGGGTGAGAGGAAAAGCATGTCATGGGATCCAACATTTCCCCACTTTGTCCTCTCCCTTCTTGGCCCTTCTTTTCCCGCTTCAGATTTCATGGAGCTTGAATGCAGGATGTACCATGAGGCTCTGGAGGGGCGAGGAGGGGGAGGCATCAGGCTATGGAGCCAGCTTTCCATGCCCCACCTGGCTTCTTCCAGGTTTGATTGATGTGTTGTTCATGAGTTCATACAGTGAGAGTCTAGACTCTGGGTATAAATGGGACCTTGGGCATCAGGATTTGGAGCCAAAGATGTAGAATAAAATCTCACATATTTCCCTAAGCTCTTGGGACAAGACAGAGGAGCTTTCCCAGCACTAGCTGAAAAACAGGTACAGAGCACAAGCAGAAATTATACCTGAATGACTACCCCTTCACAGATGGGTCAGCCGTTTTGGACTCACAAAATGTTTCACCCCACAGTCTAGCCACATGCACCAAGAAACACGGAAAACTCAGCTCCTAAATGGACACAACAAGAAGTAGCCAGAATTTGGCCTGTTGAGATGCTGTGCCTCAGATACTGCGTTGATGTTTGACACTTGGGGTCTGCACTTTTGAAAATCTGTCTTATGGTGAATGTACTGTTTAGAGACATCTGAGTGCCAAACTCCACCAGAGCATGGGAAAGCACATTTGTCTCAGTCTGAGTAGCCAACTGACTGGGTTTCCTACCACCCCTTCCTAGCAAATTTGCTTAGTACATAGACGGATGGTTTGAATAACTGCATAGAAAACTTTGTGGGGAAGGGAAGCAAAACAAGGCTCAAACAGAACGATTGATTTCTAGGGCTGTATGATGCTTCAGTCCCTGATTCAATTCAGTGGAGATTCGGCCCAATTCAATTTTCCAAATCTCCAAATCTGAATCAAATCAGAGGACCCTTGAATCTCTTCAAATTTGACTTGGAGGGTTCCAATTCAATTCGGAGAGATTTGGAAAGATTCGGCAATTCGGATATAGACACAGCTTTAAATGTTTTTTCTACATACCTCTAGGTAGCAGGCAGCTCATGAATGCTGCGATGCTGGGGCGCATGGAGTGTCCCACAGGAGCATGGGGAGCTCCCCAGTGTGCTCAGCAGCAGACCTGGAAGTGAACCAGAAGCATTTCCAGTCCACTTCTGGGTTTGCCAGTGAGTGTGCTGGGAGGCCCCCAGGGTCCCCTAGAGCTCGGCAACTGGTGCCTCCTGGGTCTGGGGTGGAACCTGGGGTCCCCCCACAGCCAACTGCCAAGCCAGGAGGAACAGGGGGGTCCCCCTGCACGCTCCCTGGGGGACCCATAAGTGGGCCGGAAGTACTTCCGGTCCACTTCCAGGTTCACTGCAGAGCACGTGGAGGGGCCTCCCCACACTCCTGTGGGACGCTCCATGCACCCCAACATCACAGCATTCACAAGCCACGCTAGTTCCTCGAGTTATATAGAAAAAACATTTAAGGCTGTGTCTATATCCGAATTGCCCATTCTCTGAATTGGCATCAAATCTTCAGTTTCAGATTTGGCCAAATTGAATCAGGGACAGTGATCCGAACCAACGAATTGAATCACTGTCCCTGATTCGGGCCAAATCTGAATGAAATAGGGCCCGCTTTGCACACCGCATATACGATTTGATCTACTCCTGTGCAGCAAGTGTTCTGATCTGATTCTGGCCTCCTGTACACTTTGGGATTGAGCTAGAAGATATGGTTATAATTAGCCTGGATTCTGAATTACAAGGAATTAATGATAAGATAAAGTTCAGGAGGAGCCACAAACCAGGGGAAAATAAAGCCAGAAGAATACAGGAGCTTACGACACAATTGGTTCCTGAAAACCAGGTCTTAAGTTGAAACATTGTAACTTGGAACCAATTTTCTCA